TTTAAAAAAAAAAAGATTATACTGGGAACAAGGTGTCAGATAGTTTAGGTTGGATTAGAGGAGAGAGTGTTGTTAGTAGAGGCTAGTTAGAAAACAATCCAGATATAAAGTAATAAAGGGCTAAGCTAAGATAAGGCCAGAGGGAATGGGAAGAGACAGGTTCCTTAAACATTGGAAAGGAAGAAGTCCTGAGACTGGTGACCACATAGAAAGGATTAGAGTATCTTATGAAAGTGAAAGAGGAGGGTAGCATTTCAGAATGAAGTATGCATCTGTGGGGTGTTTATGTTATATTTACACGGTTTTTCTTTTTTACCCCAAGGGAGTTGGAATCTGTGTATGTTGGAAGGTAGTGTGAAAACAAAAGTTTAGACCCTGACTTTTCCAAGAGAGAAAACAACTTTTACAACTCAAAATATAACTGAAATGCATACCCTGGGAGTTTAATGCTTACATGCTTTTTAGGATCTTGGCTTTACCATAGAAACCTCAGGAGAGCCAAGCAACCTGTACCTAGAGGTGATGAACTGGGATGTTGGGATCTCCTGGGGTCTTTGAAAGACTTTTCAAGCGTTTTGTTAGAGAAGAGCCCAAGACACAAACGGCTTTGGTGGTTGTGCTTCAGGAAAGAGCACAGGTTGTCAAGTTTTCTGCCAGTGGAAGTCAAAGGAAACAACTAGAGGAATTTTTTTGATGTTTCCTAATGTGTCCCTGCTGATAGCCAGGCCTCAGGAAAGGGTGAACAGCTCCTGGCCAAGAAGGAAGCAGCTTTAAGAGAGTAAAGCCAAATCAGAGAATTGGCTGTTCTCTTCAAAGGCTTCATAGCATTGTTCAGACCAGCCTGACCTTCCTGTTCTGTGGGATTCAAGAACATATTTTGTATGTAACTGATAAAAATCATTGCTGCTTAGGTCCTGGATTTCAGGTCTATTTTCATGCAGAACCCACTCCTCTAATTATGAAGTCAAATACTCCTATCTCTGTCCTGATCCCCACAGCCAAAGCCTCCAAAACAATGCAATTCATCTTCCCCAGATGGAGAGACTAAACAATCCCCTTTCACCAAAAGCAGCCAAAGTCCTCTATTCCTTCAAAGCACTGTCAATGCTCCCCTTTTATTGTAAGCAACAGGACTAATTAAATAAAATGGAGTTCTCTTGCTCTGCCAAGTAAGGCCAACTGATCTAGAGACTAAAATGTACTGAAAATGTGCAGAACTTTTACATACACATGGAACCATGTGACAACTGAGGGTGAGCAACTTTATGCCATGCTATTGGTTATTGAACATCTATAAGAAAGTCACAATGTTTGTGTCCAAATGGTACACTAAGCAAACATAGTCAATACCCCTCACCTGCTATTTTTGTAGTAGGGGACAGTCCTGCTTGAATTCTTTCTAAGTGGGTATGTTGGCTCTTTTAGAAGAAGCAAAATCCTTTCCTACTTAAGAGAAGAAAATCAGAGAAACAGAGAAGAGGAAAGAGAAGATTTGCAAAGTGATTAAAAGGGAATAATTATATATAGATGGTTACCTCTTCTCTTTTCAGGTTTTGAATTGAAACACCTTTGGTCCAGTTGCTGCTTTAAGACTTTCTGGTGCAAAGATAGAGAATAAGTATCCCAGGCTAATCTGTAAAAATTAACCTTGTGCCACCGGAATCAAATTTTTATATTGATACCATCAGTAATAGCGAGTTGTCCTTTTTCTTTTTCCAGTTTAAAGAAAACCTAGTTTCTCAGATGTAGCTTTCAAGTTACTTTGGAGCTCCATTATTGGAACATTCTAATTAAACCACTTTGGAAATATAGTTAACAACTTTCTTTGGAAACTAGCCATGGTTGTCAGTTAACTGCAACCCTGGATCATCGAATCCATTTGTTAGAATCCAATGGTCATTAACAGTTTACAAAACCAGAAAGAACAAACTAGTACGTACTTTCTCTGGTCTTTCCTTCAGTTTNTGGATCATCGAATCCATTTGTTAGAATCCAATGGTCATTAACAGTTTACAAAACCAGAAAGAACAAACTAGTACTTACTTTCTCTGGTCTTTCCTTCAGTTTCTTTGTTTTTTAAAAAATGTTTTCCTGATGTCAGAGAGAAGAAGGGAGGTGGAGAGAGAGAGATAGAAACATCAATGATGAGAGAGAGTCATTGACCGGCTTCCTTGTGCATGCCCTCTACTAGGGATCAAGCCCACAACCCAGGCATGTGCCCCAACTGGGAATTGGACACTGATCTCCTGGTTCATGGGTCAACGCTCAACCACTGAGCCATGCCGGCAGGGCTCCTTCAGTTCTTTTGAGGCAGGATAGTAAACAGCTAGGAAAATTCCTTGGCAAATGGAATGGGAAAACTGAGACAGATAGCTGAACAAACTGGCTGAGCAATTTACTACTCTGGATAGCCCCAGGTGCCTAGCAATGGGCAAAACTGGCCCCAGATCTCACCCCCAGGGTGGGCTTTCCTTCCCTGGTACATCACTGGTGATGTAGTTTAGACCCCTTGACCTTTCCTCTCTAGAGATAACCTTTCCTCTCAGTTGTATTTCAGCTCCAGGCCCACAAAACCAGCAAAACGAGGTGGGCTATGCCAGGACCAGCTGCAATGATTAATGACCCTCTGCCCTGGCACCGACCAATCATTGGAGACCATGACACTGAAAGGATAACACCTGGAAAAGCTGATAAATATTCTATTGAGATGTCCCCTAACACCTCCCCTAAACTCCTAGACTTTAAAACCCTCAGGCCCAAGGTCTCGGAGCTTACTCTCCCTCCTGGGAACACACCCTCACCTCTCCCTTTCCCCTTTCCTTCCCCCACAGTCATACATCTCATAAACTCTAAGGGACCCATGAGACTTGCAGCCAGGGCAGCGGCAGCTCAGCCCAGGGTAACCCCCTGAGCCTGTCCCCAAGGCCCTTTTTTCTCTGACTTTCAAGAGAGCTAACAGCAGCCCCACCTTGGCTCATTTCTTTCCCAAAGTTTCTAGAGAGACAAAGGAGACCCACATAGTCTCTCTCCCATTGCTTCTTCTATCCTAAACCCTTCCCTGTTTCACTGTCCCCAGCTTTAATAAGTGTACTCTCAATTACCTGGACTTGTGTTGTGAAATCTTTCCTGCAGGAAGTGAAGAACCCACACATTACAGGCCGGCCCTAGGCAGACCTGCTCTGGGCCGGTCCCTTTTCCACTAATAGTTTTATCTCTTTCCCTACTCCTCAATTTCTTCCCCCATTTTGTTCTGACCTCTCCAGTTCCTAAATAATCTGCAATGCAATTTTTTTGAGTCACCCTCAGTATTTTCATTGGCTATGTTAACCTAAAAATAAAAAAGTCAAAATGAGAGGCAACAAACATTAATTCAAAATCACAGAATAGTTAGCAAGCACTGATTCAGAGAGAAACCCAGAGTGTTCCCATGATGGGGTGAAGGCAAGGGGTTTTCATGAGAAAGGGAAAGGAAATAACTACATGAGTAGAAAGAAGGAATTTCTATTGGGTGCTAATAAACTAAGGATGCTAATTCTAAAAAATGCCTTTAACTCTTAGTTCAGTGGTAGTCAGGATGTCTGCTTTCCTGTTAGCTTTACTAACAGTTGTTTGAAATACAACGTTCATTTGGCCTAGTCCAAAGGTTATTTTGCCCAGTTTAAACATCCCAAAGGTTCAAGGAGCAAGACATGCAAGGCGTTTCCTCTCCAATGGCTGCTCTAGTTCTATTTTAAAATGGCTCCACTTAGGCCAACTCTTCACAGTTATAAATGGAATCTCATTTTATTGTTGCTTTACTGAAGACAATACAGTTTCATTATATATATATATATACACATATATATACATATATGTATGTATACACACACACACACTACATATGTGTAACATTATTTTAATCCTCCCCTGAGGATATGTTTTTATTTATTTGAGAGGGAGAGAGGAAGGGAGAGGGAAAAAGAGAGAAACATCAATGTGAGAAACATTGATCAGTTGCCTCCAGCACACACCCAGACCAGGCCCGGGACTGAGGCTGCAACCAAGGCACGTGCCCTTGGCTGAAATCAAACCCAGGACCATCCAGTCTGCGGGCCAAAGCCCAGCCACGGGGCCAGGTGGCTAGGGCCGGATATTATAATTTTTGTTTGTAAATGCAAACCTGAAACTATCTAGATGCAAGCACTAATTTCCGGGAGTAGATACAGCAGGTGGATTTTGGCACAGCCACACGCACTCATAAAGCCTGATAACCAGCACTTGTCCTGAATCTTGCAAATCCCTTTCCAACTTTTCCATAAGATCAGTGTCTTGCAAAGAAGTGTTTATTACAGGACTATGAAGACTGCATTTAAACTGTTTTCAGTAATACTTTCATTCAAAAAATTTTCTTTCCAACCCCCACCTGCCCCGTAGATTTCGCTCCTGTTTTCCTGGGCCTGGGGCGCAGGAACCTAATTTCTGAGAAGCGCATTAAACAGAGGCCGCCACTGGCTCTGGACCGGCACCAGGAGAACAGCCTTGGCGCCAGCGACCCCCGGTGCTTGGGCGCGGGCCACCTGCGGTGACCAAATCCACCCAGGGCGGACGAGGTGCTGGTGAGCTGGGGTGCAGTCCTGTGATTACAGGGCTCGTCCCCAAATGTCCGTTTCCTACGAGCCCTGAACAGAGTTTTCGGCTTGTCCCTGAGTGTTGCGTGACCCGGACCCACGGGGGGTGGCGGCGGCTCCCGCGCGGAGCTCGGTGCTCGCTCGACCAGGGACCGGGGCTCGCTCGTAGCTTCTGGGGGCCAGGGGGCGGCGCCACGCCTCCCGCCCTCCCGCGGGCGCGGACCCCGAGCGGGACCCG